ACTAAATGCCTTCCAGGCCAGTCAGCCATCATTTAAAACACATAAAAGCCTACCCATCAAAAATAAATTAGCTAAGCGTTTCATTCCCCAACCAGGAAGGTTGGTATTGCAAATGGATTTGGGCTGAAACCATTTTCCTTTTTGAAACGCGCCCAAGTTTTAAAAGAAATAGCTTCATCTGATCTGAACTGCCAACAAATTCCTCCAAAATCCATCCATTGAGAGAACCTCATTACCTGCTTCAGCTCAATATCCACATAACTCCAAAGCATCTGAGCTTTTCATAACAGGGCTAGAAAAAGCCAGGCTCTACGTGCCTCAGAGAAAGGGTTTCAGGGCTGAGAGGGATAAACTGAGGAAAAGAACAATAATGCAAACATTTCCCCAGCAAAATAACTACGAAAGTTAAAAATTATTTTAAAGTTAGCCATCATGAAAAATTGCAAGCAAAATTATTTCTCTTAAATAAATTTATTTAAAGCAAATTCTCCTAAACTTGCTTCTCTTAAAGCAAATTTATTTCTCTTAAATTTAGTTCCTTAGTATTTTTGTCCTTTTTTTGGACTTAAGGATGGTTTAGTTATATTTCTACACACTTGATTTCGTCTCTCGAATCATTTCAGTGCATGCCGCGTCTTCTTAATTAATCTGCAGGTTTCCTAAGGAAAGGATGCACATTTCCTGTTCTTGCACACCTCCTAGCGCACCGTAGGACCAGAGCCACAGTAAATGCTCAATAAGCATACAATAAACAAACGAATCTATGGGGCATGTTAACCTGCTAAAGTCCTTGGTGGGGGACTTAAGTTACTTGAGTTAATTTTTTTTTAAAAAATTCTTCCCTTCTCTTAAAATCCTGATCCCACCTCCTTTTTACCACCAATTAGTACCTCTATTTTAAGTCCTTTGAAATTTTCATAACAATAAGAAAGAAAAACCAAAATTTTGCTTGCAGCTATGCTTTGTTAGATTTAAAGGTTCTTTGATGGCAGGACACAACACACTGACACTTGCAAGATGAAAAGCAGAACTTTTTGTTACTGGCCAAACCAGAGGAGGCTGCCAGGCAGGACCACACAGAGGGTTACACCCTGGAGCAGGAGGCGGTTCATGGATGACAGCAGGGTGGGTTTAACTAGGTTTAGGACGCTTCCTATGAATTGGATGATTTGAATAATTTCACAGGCTCTAGGACTTAGGGTCTGTTTCTGGTTGTATGCTACCTGACCTGGGGCGATTAGGGCCAGTTGCATAGATGCCAGGAGTGTAAGAGTTCCATACAGGATGTTGTTGGAGATGTGGTCTTAATCAGCTGCTCAAAAAGGGAAACTGAACGGCCCCTAGCCAGGACCTCAAAACTAGATCAAGATGGCATTTTTTTAAAAACTATATTACATTCTATAACAGAAGTCACTGACCACACCCCCACCTATGTTTCATGAAAGCCAGAGCCTGACTGTATTATTCTCCTTGGCACTCACATTTTCTTGAGTAAATTGAATGAATTCAGATTTCCACTCCTACAGCAGGGCAGCAAGGTAGCCCACTAAGACTGCTGGCCTGGATTCTACGCTTTCAGTAGGGATTGAGACTTGCACCACACACAAAAAGTGTATTAAATCTACAACTCAGAAAAAAAAAAATGTGAATAAGGTCCATGTTAGTCTGTCAAGAGATTATATCCATAATCTGGAATGTTTTCATTTTATCGGAATGATAGACACAAATAAAATAGATTGTTGTTTATTGTACTGATAAAATCTGAGAGCAAAGTGACATTTGGGGGTAAGAGAAATAGGAACGAGAGAAACTGACCAAATATCTGCTAAATTGCAATGGTTCTGCTGTCAGATAGAAGATAACATAGTTTGAAAATCAAGAAGTAAGGAAAGGTAACAAATGAGACTGAGTAACAAGCTCATAAGTTCTGGAAAGAGAGCCACTGATTTAAGAAGATCGGATGACACAAAGAGCATTTGGAGGGGTTATCATAGTCTATTGGCAGAAAAGAACTAAAAGAAAATACATCTAGATTTAGCATAGATAAAATAAATAGTAAATAATGTCTTGGGACTGTAGGAAGTAAGTCATTAGTCCAATGAATGCAAGAAAATAGACTTAAAGAGATGATATTACATCACTGTGGTGTTTGTATGGAAAGTAACACAGAATGAGGGTTTCATGATAAACTCTAGAAAGCTTTAAAAAAACTCCAGATTAAACAAATTGTTGTTGTTTTTGTTTTTTCTTTTTTTATCTTTTTTTTTTTTTTGAGGAAGATTAGCCCTGAGCTAACTACTGCCAGTCCTCCTCTTTTTGTTGAGGAAGACTGGCCCTGAGCTAACATCCGTGCCCATCTTCCTCTACTTTATATACGGGACGCCTACCACAGCATGGTGTGCCAAGCGGGATCCGAACCGGAGAACCCTGGGCCACTGAGAAGCAGAACGTGCGAACTTAACTGCTGTGCCACTGGGCTGGCCCCCAGATTAAGCAAATTTAAATGATTTCTTCATCACAGGGCCAATCAAGTGTTTTATTATGTTAACATATGCTGGGAATCTCCAAGAAGAAAGTGTGGTGGGAGGGTATTGGCCACAGAACCCTCCTTTCATGAAGCAGCTTATATAACTCGTGTTCCATGGAACACTCTTTGATAAAGCCTATGCTAATGTGATATTTTTCCGCCTATGCTATTTTCATAGCCACACAAGTTATTTTATTCTGTCAGAAAATTTAAGCAACTAAATTCTGGAACACACAATGCCATCCTCCCTCTTAGGGACTAAGTAGAAAATTCTCTTCACATCTAATATAGGTATCTACGTCCTTTGAGAAAATACATCTGGTCCCTCTATGACATTCTTTGGACAGACTAAATATATACGATAATATCAGCTCTCTGCAGTGCTGAAAAAATTAAAATAAAAAAAGACTTGAAGGAGGAAGTTGTGAGCTATGAGAGAACATCACATTGATCCCAATGTTAACTGCAGTCACCTCATGGTCCCCTTTGTCCACTTAATTAAAAGCCTAGAAAAAAGTCAACTTAAAGCCTGGAACCAGAGCAGCAAGCTAAGAATAACGTTAGCAACTAGAATTTCAATTTCTGCAAATCCTTGCAAAATTCAACAGTGACTTCTATTGAACAAGCATCTGATTAGGACATCAAATAATATGGAATATCAGCTACTTAAGGTGATTTAGCTACTTAAGGTGACATGTCAAGCAAAGGCAAAAGCTGTAGTCATATTCCAGGGACAGTAGGATGTGATAAGCATGTCTTTGCCTAGCGATTCTGAGATAAGTGTTCTCTCTCTCCTTTTTTGCTGTAAACCTCCTTGCATGATTTTGTGATTCTGATACCCTAACGGGGCAGTTGTTTATTGACATTTTGAATGATGTAAGGTCATCTTATGATGACTTTCAAGAAACTACTCACATTACTTTTTGATTCTTTACTTAGATTTCCATTAAATATCTATATGTTTATATGAGTCATAAACACATAGTCATGAAAGCTAGTCAGAGATCACTGATGTTACAAGGAAAACAGCCCCAAGAAATGTGGTGGCTTTCAGTAACATCTCCAGCAATGGCTCCTTTTACTGAAATATTTATTGAGTACATACCATGTGCTAGGTCTTTTGTCCCTAGGCCTGCTCAGCTCTATCCTTGTAACTAAATGACAATGACCAGGACAGCCTAGTCAATCAGGCAGCTTTTAAATCACTTTCAATGGCAAAAGGTATAGTCTGATGGTCACACAGCCACAGGTATCAAGCGGGCATCCTGGGCTCTTCTATTGCCTTTGGCTAAATGAACTCCAACCTAGGAAATCACACTTTTAGATAACTCAGATGCACTCACATACCAGGTAACAAAATTATGAACACCATTCCCAGAGGAGCAAAGAAAATGAAGCTTCTTTATTTTCCTATAAATACGGTGACCAAAACTGGGACAATCCCAGTTTATGCCTGTTGTCCTGGTATCTCAACTGGTCTAACATTTCCCTCAGATTTTAAATTTTTTTAATGAAGAATTATTAATAGCTACATTGGTAGATCTCTGCTTTGTATTTTCAGCTTCTGACACAGTCTTGTCTAGTAGTGTGGGAGATGTATGCACAAAGATCAGATTTTTTTTTTAACTTTAACACGTGATTAAACCTAAAACATGCCCAGCAATAACCCATCTCTCTTTTCCCTATTTTTTCCAGACTCAGCAAAACAAGCACCTCCCTTTCAAAGACATCATGCAGGGAACTTGCTGGTAAACACAATGCCCTCAGGCAAGAGAGAGCTCAGGAAGCTAATTTCTCCCATTTTGGGTGATGGCCGAGAAAAACTCAACACCATTACCCCTACGGGCCATTGTTGGGCCAGCCAGTTGTACTGGGGTCCACATCACACCCACAACCTTCAAAACGCATGAAGCCGCCAGCCATCAGTTAGCAGGGTCGTAGAAATATGAGACATCATCGGTTAGTTGGGAAACATGAGTGGGAGCTGGAGGCTGGACTATCTTGTCATAGAGCTTATAGAGAACAGCCTGAATACTCTCATTGCATGGTTTTATTATTTATTGTACAGTTTGTATTCATATATCAGCAGCAATTACTGTTGGGTAATGCTGTTTTATTTTGCAATAAACTCTTGGAGCAGCAAAGAGCTCAAAAAACCAAAAGCACATGTTAATGAAAAACTGAGTTCTGAGTTTCTATTTCACAACATAGTTGATGATGAATATGGAACTTGCAAAGAAAGTTTATCAACACAGTTTACCATCTACCATGAAGGCTAAGCAATACCACTGACCACACGAAACCCAGAATACACAAATCTTCTGAAGAAGCACCAGCATCTGTTCCAAAAGTTAGAAGTTACTTTAAGACTATCTCCAAAAATGACTGTTTAGCATGTGCACCTGCAGAAAATGCATTTACCTACCACTCAGTGAAGCATGAGTGGTAGGTAAATGCATGAGTTTTCACTTACCTCCAATGATGGCTTTTCTTCATTAACTTCATACACTTTGGATTCCAAGTTTCCTTTGGGAAGTATGAAAAGAAAGTGATAACTGTTCATGTGTTGTCTTTGTTAGCAGAAGAAGAACAGCACAAACAGTTGAATGAGGCAAGTTTTATGCTAGTGTCCTAGATACATCAAAGAAAAAATCAATTAGTTCCAATAACAGTTTGTTTTTCTTTATTCAATTTATGAAATCAAAATATAACTTTTGGATATTCATTCTGTCAAAAAGAAATATTTGACATTATTGTGAATGCTCGTATAGGCTCAGATAAAAAGTTCAACATTAAATATAAAATTATTTGTTTTGTGGAATGTAAACACAAATTTTAGCAGAGTACAGTGTTGTGATAAAAACAATAGTCTGACTAAATTAAGAAACCTTTGGAGCAGAAATGTACTTGAAATTGGCTGAGGTGCATATATAATTAATGATTGAATCCTAAAAAGCTGCTGTATTCCAGTAATCAAAATAGAAACTGCCTTTGTCAAAATGTATAAATATTATACACACACACACACACACACAAAGTTAGAGCAACTGAACTAGAAAACTGTTTACGAGGAAGCTGATATTCCACCTCATTATATGGAAATAGACACTTTCTTTGCTACCAACCATCCAGGTCTGCCCTTACTGTTTGCAGAACCCATGGCAAGAATGGATATGGAAGCCCATTTCTTACATACTATAAGTCTAAAGTTTTAAAAGTTATAAATCAAGCTATTGAACTGTTAAATAAAATGTTTGAACCTACTATGGCAATTATACCTTCAATGATGCCTGAAAAGCCATGTTATAATTTAGAATCCCCAGAGTCCTTGGAATTCCAGAGTCCTGTGTGGAATTGACAGTGTAGGGAAAATATCCACTCCAGCCCATCACTAGCTCTTCCTTCTTCCAGCTGCCTCCAGCATAGCAAGGGGCCTCATACAAATAGACGAGGACAAATCAGACTAGCCCCCATGTCCAAGATCTGTCAACAGCACCCCCTCTTCCCACCCCTAAACAGCTGTCCTTTGGCCAAATGTAAGGCCATGGGGTGCCCATACTGGTAGTGAGGTCCATCCTTAGAAAGAAGTACCCAAGGAAGATGCCTGCATATTCCTGGGAGCAGGTCAGGGCCATATGGGCAAGGAATTCTCAGCCCTTAGCTACCTGGGCATTTGTCCAGGAAGGCATGTATCCTTGGCCCCTCAGATTTGAGCTGAGCTGGAAAAGGGTCCGAGTTGAACCCTCTTAAGTGTAAGGCCCTGGGCAGTAGTCTCTCTTGCTCAGATTTACATTTCAGAGTAGTACTGACATCATCAATTGCATTTTAGAAATGTTCGAGGTTTTAAAGAACTATTTTGAAAATCAACTTAAGCGCCTAAAAATAGTATTGAAATACACACTCACACACACATAAAATCATCACATCCCTGGTGGTTTGAATACAGAAGAAGAAGCATTGTTAAGTCAGAAAATGAGAATAGTGCAAACCTTCAGAAACACCTAAGCAGGGCCAGCTTTATGGGCATGTGACCTGTGCAGCCACACAGGGCCCCCGGGCTCAGAAGGGCCCCAAATTTGTTTTCATGCTCACCTGTCATCTTAAAATTCTTACCAGTTTGAACAAGAGGCCCCATGTTTTCATTTTGCTCTGGCCCCTGCAAATTATGGTGCCAGTCCTGTTCTTGAGGCCATTTATTCCACAAGAGGATTTCCTATGAAACTTGTGGCCTGTTTTCCCTTTGAAAAAAGTCAATAGAGCCAGCATCTCGCTTTCAATTATTTCATTTTCACCTATGGACCTTAACAAAAACATAAGGGCAGAGAAGGAAATACTTTTTAAAGGACACTGGAGTATTGGAAACCTTGACAAAAGTTCCATTAGAGGTTCAGGTTGGTTCTTGTCATTCTGGAATTGCTCACCCACTTCCTGTATAATCCCTGATTAAATGCCACCATTTTCACCCAGGGATCTTCTTGTCCTTTCTTCTGCCCCTACCCTATCTCTTTAAGTTATGGAGGTTTTCTTTTTCTTTGTGGATTTTTATTTCAATTCCTCTCTACTTTTTAGATTAAAGTGTAGGAGTAGTATTATTATTAAAGCAGAATGCCAGGCAGAGAGAGGAAGCTCTCCAGCACATCTTTATTAATCCAGGGCACGTCCATTTTGAAAGAAAGAATGAGAAGGGAGATTTGTAAAGGGCAAGGGCTGGCCTTGGCAGCTCCTCACAGCAGGAACAGAGCCTGACACACTGCAGAAGGGTCTGCAAGGAAACAGAGCAAAATTGCCCCAGCATCAAATCCCCCGATGACTGCTGTTCCCTTAGCCTCCTTCTCCCACTGGCCCCAGCCCTCTGTGCCATGAACCCTGGCTTTGGGTTTCCTAATTCACTATCTGTTCTGTAGACTTTCTCCTACAAATCTCCAAACTCCCCCTCAGCCATTAAACAAAAAGGCCCCAAAGCCCAGCCTCCTTCAGAGATGGACTGCACCAAGGGAGAAGGGGCGACTGCAAGGTGATGACCAAGGGCTGCTGGCTACCAGCTCAGCAACACAGAGGTTAGGAGCAGTCCTTGGGCTCTTGGCAAGCTGCCAATCTTCCTCTTTCAGGTAAAACGTGGAAGCCCAGGCCAACTGACTTGAAACCCAGAAGGGGAAGACGCTGAAGGGAAGACACTGAAACCCCTTCTCCACCTCACACAGTGTGCACACCTGTTTTCTCTCTGAGTTATCCTGAAAGGGCCATGGGGCCTTGGGTTCAGGACAGAGGTGCAATCAAGGCTGAGGCAGGGATGGCCCAGAAACAGGACTGGGCTTTCTAGATGATGGGACAGACAATGCCACCCCTCCATACCTTTGGAACCCAAAGCTCCCTCTGGGGCTCCTCCCCTCAAGTAAATCAGCCACAGGACAGAGGCACAGAAATGATGAGACTCTTCTGCAACGCTCTGAATACACCAGGGCATCTTTCTTCTTTGACTTCTACAAGGTTTGGACGTAGCTTATTCTTTACTTCTCTGAGATGTGATTCTCCAGTTTCATTTACGGGATTTGTTTCCAGGAGTGATATTCCAAAAATTTATAACTGCTGGGTATGGGCCCAGACCCGATAGAACAGGCCCTGTCTTTGGGGCTCAGGCTCAGGGGCGGAGGGAAAGGGAATGAGTGAGAAGGTTAGACTAAGAGACCTTGAGACAGCAGCCCTCTACCAACCAACGGGGAAACACTTCTGTATTTTAACAGTGGGACCTATCATATCCGTGCTTATCCACTGAATTAGCTCTATTAACAAGTCTTCTTTAGCTCAAATAAATATAGAATCAGATATACCTGGGTTGAATCCTCAATCCCTTGCTACCAGAGGTAGCAGTGGCCCTTAGGTAAGGTATTTAACTCCTTTGTCCTCAGCTTCCTCATCTGTAGGGCTGGAATAACTCACCTCTTAGTTCTGTTATGATGTTTACCTGAGATAACATATGTAAAGTGCGTCTCACCTGCCTCTCAACTCAAAATTGTGCTCACGTAGAATTTAAGAGCCATGTTCGTGGAAGGTGTGCCATAGGAAAAGAACAACAGATGTGACTACTGTTTCATGGCATATATCGAGTGCTGGTGTGTGCCAGGCCCTGAGCTGGGGCAGGACACCTATTAGTCAATTAGTCCTTACCAAGACCCTGTAAGCTGGGAATTCTATTTTTGTCAAGGCCCATTTTTTGTCACAAATAATAACAACAGCTAGTATTTACTGAGTGCTGACTAGAATTCTATGAAGAGTCATGTTACTGACCTCATTTTGCAAATGGGGAAACTGATTCCAAAAGAGTAAGTAATTGATGTGAGCAGTAATTGAATTGATGTGTATAGACTGTGAGTATCGCCACGGGAATCAGAGACCTTGGCTTAAATCCCTGCCCTGGAGAAGTCACCAAGCCTCTCTATGCCTCTCTAGGCCTCAGTTTCCTCATGTACAAAAAGAATAAAAAGTGTATTGAATTACTCGGGGTCTTGGCAGGAAACAGACGGCACATTCAAACAGGGAAATTGAGGATGATGTACTGACATATGGACAGGATTAAGGAAAAACTATGGAGGATAATAAAGCAGATAGTTAAGGATGGGAAAAGGCTAGCAACAGCAGAGAGCTCTTACCAACCTAGGCCTAAAGAGCAAGAGGAGAGAGTGGTTACAGGAACCCAGTGAGAGCTGAGGCTGTAGCTGCTGCTACAACTAGAGCTGTTGGGGAGGCCACTGAACGAAAGCTCCAGCCTTGGGTAAAGGGGCACAGCCACTGCCAACCTTCAGCTTGGCAGGGAGAGGCAAGAGAATTGACTCCCTAACCTCACTCTGCTCCTGCACTGACCTCCTGCCACTACCTCTCACTAACCCAACCCAACTGGAAACAACAGGGCAAGGAAGCCAGTTGATGTGCATTAATGGTCACAGACAGAGTGCAGCGAAGTAAAGAGTAGATCTGGAGGGGCAAAGGGAATACCTAGCATGGGTATCTTACTCCACATATCCAGAGCAGGTATTGTATTAGTCAGAGTTCTGCAGAGAACCAGAACCAACAGAATGTTAGAAAGAGACAGAGAGAGATTTTAAGGAATTGTCTCTTGTGATCATCAGGGCTATCAAGTCTACAATCTGTAGGGCAGGCCAGCAGGGTGGAAATTTAGACAAAAGATGATGTTGCAGTCTTGGGTGCAGGTTCCACAGAGCAGCAGGCAGAAGCTCAGGCAGGGTTCCTACGCCGCAATCTTGACGAGAATTCCTTCTTCTTCAGGAAACCTCAGTCTTTGCTCTTAAGGCCTTCAACTGACCAGACGAGGCCCACACACAGCATGGAGTGTGAGCTGCTTTACTCAAAGTCTGCTAATTTAACTGCTAATCTCATCTAAAAAAATACCTTCACAGCAACATCTAGACTGATGTTTGACCAAACAACTGGGTACCACAGTCTAGCTGAGTTGGCACACAACTCTAACCATCATAGGTATTTACCCCATATACCCAGCATGAGTATCTACTCCATAGTTTATGTGAAGGTAAAATAATATAATGCAGCTCCTAGAGCATAGTAAACATTTGGTAAATGTTAGCTGTTATCATTATCACTTGTACTTAACTCCAGACTGGTCTGCTACAAGTTCCTGGGGCTTTAAAACAACAATTTAACCTTTAAGGGCATCTGTCTTCTTGTCTTTGCCTGAAGTAGGCTGTACAAGCTCCCTTTTAGTTCCCAAATACCATGGCAAACAAATGACTTTCTGATCATCACCTCCAAAAGCAGTTCAGGGAAGAAGTCAGTGCTGGACTGTTATTTTAGATTCCTACACTCAGGACTAGGGAGGTGTGGCCAATTCAGCCCAAGTTTCTGGGGTAGTACTTCCCAAAGGAGTGTTAAAGGGAAATTGTTCCAGGATGTTAAGAGGTGGGTCGGGAAAACAATCTTTCCCTGAACAAATGTAGTTGTTTATTCAAGCATTAAACAAAATTAAGCAGGTACCTTATTTACAGGGGAGACTTCTCAGAACCTTTACTGTGTTGATGTACACTGTATATCTCCAGGTGGGGTTTTAGGTTGCTATTTCCTGAGTTTGTGTGACCACTGATGACTTTGCCCTCCAAGCATGTGTAAATGTCTTGGAGAGCTAGGATTGCAAGGAATGAGGTTTGGGAATGTGGTTCTAGGGCCACCCTGAGAGTCGTTCTAAGAATACTGTTGACTTGCTCTCTGCTTTCCTGCCACTCCCTTATGGTGAGGGAGAATCCTGGGGGAACTGAGGATAAGTTAGTTCTTGGGGGACCCAGGCCCAGGCCTAGCTACATAATTTGCAGGGCCCACGGCACAATGAAAATGCAAGGCCTCTTCTTGAAAAATTATTAAGATGTTCAAGTCCCTGATAGCAGAGCATTAAACCAACTGTGGTGCCCTTCTGAGACAGATGGGGCCCTGTACAACTGTACAGGTCATATGTGCATGAAGCTGATCCTGCCCTGGTCATTCACTCACCCAATAAATTTATAGTGTACCTACTATGACATATTTTCTTGTCCTGAAAAGCTTTCAGAATAAAAAAAGACAGTTCCTTAGACAGCCCCTAGGGCAAACCACTTCTCCAGTTTTCCTCAGGCTCAGCCAGTGAGTCTCCCATGACTTACATGTCTTTGTGAGATGGTCTCAGGCAACAGACAGCAAATCAGAAGAAAGGCATTGATTTAGGTTAAGGTTGGGTTCTCCAAGAAGCAGACTCTGAGACAGAGCTTAGTATGTAGACTGTTTATTAGAGAGTACCCTTGGCATTAACGCCTGTGGTAAGGAGAGGAAGGAAGCAGGATTGGGCAGAGGGAGACGGTGGTCTGCAATGCAGGTCAAACTATAGCCTCAACCCACCTCACGGGGAATCTATAGAGCTAGAATGGCCCTTTTGTCCTGAGCTGGGAGGAGGTGGCTGGCCTTTATACTCCTGCATGAATCAGTCATTGGATGGTGGCAGCTACAGGAAGTGGCCTGAATTGGGCAAGGTGGCTTCCCAGCTGAGGCAAACTCTATAGGACTGACAGCTGAGGCTGTCCACCAACAGCACTCCCAACTGCTGGGGCAATAATGCCTTCCTTAAAGAGGGATCTGGGTGGCTGCATCAGTGTCCACTCTAGTGTGTATGTGGGAATCCCCCCAGATTGGAGACTTCAGGACTGGCCTTTTTAAATGTCAGTGGGTATGAATTTCAGAGTCACAAACTTGGGAATGCAAAAATGTCACTTTCATTATATTTATAACTGAAGTGACCAACCATCTTGGTTTGCCAAAGATTTTGCAGGTTTTAGCAGTGAAAAGTCTCACGTCATAGAACAAATTGGAACAGTTGGTCACCCTATCTCAACTCAATTTAACCTTTTTGATTTTAAATTCAGAGCCCTCATTTCCAATTGAGAGCAGAAAATTGAATCCAGGATTTAGTTATGAGTTTAAAATACAGTCCATTCAAGAGTTTTCACCCTCTCAAAGTTCTTTCACTCTCTTCCTTCATGGGGCTGATTCTAAACCCCCAGGGGTATGGGCAACTGCCATGATGAATCTTTGGGGCAAGAAGTGGCTGATTTTAGTCTCTGTGGTCTCAATCCTCTGGAAACCTCTTGCTCCGGGTGGAACTCACCCCTAGTCCCTGAGTGTCTTTGGCTCTATCTCCTTTGCCCCTCTTGTGTGTGTGTGAAGTTGTCTGCAATCCTAGAAAAACTTTTAGATCTATACAGTTCTGCCCTCTGCAGCCTCCTCATCCTAATGCCCAGGATCATCATCTTTTCACCCCCATCCACCTCTTCCCTGTCCTTCTTGTGGGCTCAGAGAAGAGCAAGAGCAAAGGGAAGGGTAGCACCTTATGAGACTTCAGGAAAGACTACGGGCTGTCAGCAGCACTCTGCCTGCTCTAATGCCCTTCATAGCTACTGTTGTCTCCAGTTCTTTTGCCCATGTGCTAAGAGAAACATGTGCCAATGCAAGGCTGCCTGCCCCCAGAGTTCCAGGTGGCACTAATAGGACCCAGGGCCTCTTACTCTTGGGGGGAACTTTACTTTGGTTAGTGTACTGTCCCTGGGGGGCATACAGGTTTTATCCACTCCAGCATCTCCAACTTTCATCATATCTCCTCACCCTACTCTCCCAGATTAACACCAACCTACTGCTAAAGACTATCACTTCTCTGGCGGAGGGGGGAGTGAAAGAGTAAAGTTTTTGTATGCAATCAAAGTAAGTTTTTATCAGCTTAAAATGCTGATATCAACTTTAAAAACTCAGTTATATCTGTAAGATGTTTTATGTAAGCCTCATATTAATCACAAAGCAAAAACCAACAGTAGATACACAAAAGATAAAGAGAAGGGAATCAAAGCATACCACTATGAAAAATCATCAATTCACAGAGGAAGACAGTAAGAAAGGAATAGGAGACTACAAAACAGCCAGAAAACAATTAATCAGATGACATTAGTAAGTCCTTACCTATCAATAATTACTTTTAAATGTAAATAGATTAAATTCTCCAATTGAAAGGCATAGAGTGGCTAAATGTATAACTAAACAAAATCTAACTATATGCTGCATACAAGAGACTCACTTCAGCTTTAAAGACACACATAGGCTAAAAGTGAAGGATTGGAAAAACATATTCCATACAAATGGAAATCAAAAAAGAGCAGCAGTAGCTACACTTATATTAGACAAAAAGACTTTAAGTCAAAAACTGTAACAAGAAACAAAGAAGGTCATTATACAATGATAAAGAGCTCAATTCATCAAGAGGATATAACAATTGTAAATATGCATGCACCCAACATTGGAGCACCTAATTATATGAAGCAAATACTAACAGAACTGAGGAGAGAAATAGAAAACAAAGCAATAATAGTAGGAGACTTCAATATCCCACTTTCAAGAAAAAAAAGTGATCCGGTCATCCAGACAGAATACCTGTAAGGAAACATTGGACCCAAACTACACTTTAGACCAAATGTACCTAACAAAAGATTGCAGAACATTCCATCCAAGAGCATCAGAATACATAATCTTCTCAAGTGCACACGGAACAGTGTCCAGGTTACATCATATGTTAGGCCACAAAAGTCTTGGCAAATTTAAGAAAATTGAAATCTTTCCTGACCTCAATAGTATGAAACTAAAAATCAATAACAGGAGGAAAGGGGGAAAATTCACAAATATGTGGAAATTAAACAACACCTTCCTGAACAACCAATGGGTCAAAGAAGAAATCAAAAGGGAAATCAGAAAATATCTTAAAACAAACAAAAATGGAAACACAACATACCAAAACTTATGGGAAGGAGCAAAAGAATTTCTAAGCAGAAAGTTTATAGTAAGAAAGGCCTACATTAAGAAACAAGAAACACCTCAAATAAACAGCCTAACTTTACACTTCCAGGAACTAGAAAAAGAAGAACAAACTAAACCCAAAGTTGGCAGAAGTAAAGAAATAACAAAGATCAGAGCAGAAATAAATGAAATAGAGACCAGAGAAACCATAGAAAAGATCAATGTAACTAAGATTGGTTTTTTGAAAAGATAAACAAAATTGACAAACCTTTACTAGACTAAGAAAAAAGAGAAAATTCAAACAAATAATATTTAGAATGAAACAGTAGACTATACAACTGATACCACAAAATTCAAAGCATCGTGGGAGACTCCTATGAACAATTATATTCTAACAAATTGGATAACCTAGAAGAAATGGATAAATTCCTAGAAACATACAACCTGCTGAGACTGAATCATGAAGAAACAGAAAATATGAATAGAACAATAATGAGTAAGGAAATTGAATCAGTAATGAAAAATCTCCCAACAAATAAAAGCCTAGGACCAGATGGCTTCACTGATTAATTCAACCAAACATTTACAGACGAACTAATGGCAGTCTTGCTCAAACTCTTCCAAAACTCTAAAAGAAGGGAATACTTCCAAACTCATTTTAAGAGAGCAGCATTACCCTGATACCAAAGCCAGATAAGGACACCACAAGAAAAGGAAAACTATAGGTCAATATCCCTGATGAATATAGATACAAAAATCCTCAACAAAATACTAGCAAACAAAATTCAACAGCACATTAAAAGGAACATACACCATGATCAAATAGGATTTATCCCTGGGATGCAAGGATGGTTCAACATATGCAAATCAATAAATGTGATACATCACATCAAGAAAACAAAAGATAGAAATTATATGACCATCTCAATAGATGTAGAAAAGGCATTTGACAAAATTCAACATCCTTTAATGGTAAAACTATCAACAAATTAGATAAAGAAGAAACATACCTCAACATAATAAAGGCCATATATGACAAGCCCACAGCCAATATCGCACTCAATGGTGAAAGGTTGAAGGCTTTTCCTCTAAGATCAGGAAGAAGACAAGGGTGCCCACTCTCACCACTCCTATTCAACATGGTACTGGAAATCCTAGCCAGAGCAGTTAAGCAAGAAAAGGAAATAAAAGTCATCAAAACCAGGAAGTAAGAAGTAAAATTGTCTCTGTCTGCAGATGAGATGATCTTAAATACAGAAAATTCGAGACTCCACAAAAAACTATTAGAAGTAATAAATTAACTCAGTAAGGTTGCAGGACACCAAATCAACACACAAATATCAGTTGTGGTTCTATACACTAACACTGAGCTATGTAAGAAAGAAATTTTTAAAAATCCCATTTACAATAGCATCAAAAAAAAAAATACTTAGGAATAAATTTAACCAAGGAGGCTAAAGATCTGTACACTGAAAACTATAAAATTTTGATGAGAGAAATCAAAGAAGACACAAATAAATGGAAAGATATCTCATGTTCATGAATTGTAAGAATTAATATTGTTAAAATAACCATAATAAACAAAGTCATCTATAGATTTAATGCAATCTCTACCAAATTCCAATGGCAGTTTCCTCAGAAATAGAGCAAACAAGCCTAAAATTCATATGGAACCATGAAAGACACCTAATAGCCAAAGCAATCTTGAGAAAGAAGAACAAAGCTGGAAACATCACACTTCCTGATTTCAAACTATGTTACAAAGTGATAGTAATCAAAACAGTGTGGCACTGGCATAAAAAGAGACACACAGACAATTGCAACAGAACTGAGAGCCTAGAAATAAGCTCTCACATATACAGCCAACTAACATTTAACAAGGAAGCCAAGAATACTCAATAGGGAAAGGATAGTCTCTTTAATAAATGATATTGGGAAAACTGAATATCCAAATGCAGAAGAATGAAACTGGACTTATATATTACATCATTCTCAAAAATTAACTCAAAATGGATTAAAGACTTAAATGTAAGACCTGAAACCATTCAACTCCTAGGAGAAAGCATAGGGAAAATCTCCTTGATGTTGGTCTTGGTAACAACTTCTTGAAAACTACAAGCAACAAAGGGAGAACTAAAACGTTAGCCAACCTGATGGCATAGAGATTAAGTTCGTGCACTCCACTTCAGCGTCCTGGGGTTCGCCAGTTCAGATCCTGGGCACAGACCTACACATCGCTTATGAAGCCATGCTGTGGCAGGTGTCCCACAGATAAAGTAGAGGAAGACAGGCATGGATGTTAGCTCAGGGCCAATCTTCCTCAGCAAAAAGAGGAGGATTGGTGACAGATGTTAGCTCAGGGCTAATCTTCCTCAAAAAAAGATATGTATATTTAATATTGGGGTCAGCCCAGAGGCATAGTGGTAAAGTTCACATGCTCCACTTCAGTGGGCCAGATTTCACAGGCTCAGAACCCTGGGTGGAGCTAGCACCACTAGTCAAGCCATGCTATGGTGGCATCCCACATAAAATAGAGGCAGATTGGCACAGATGTTAGCTCAGTGGCAATCTTCCTCAAAAAAATAAAAACTAGAAACAGACTACGTCAAACTAAAAATCTTTTACACAACAAAAGAAACCATCAACAAAATGAAAAGATAACCTATGGAATGGGAGAAAATATTTACAATACATATATCTGATAAGGGATTGATATCCAAAATACATAAGGAATTCAGACAACTTACTAGCAAAAAAAGCCAAACAATCCAATTAAAAAATAGGGAAAAATAATGACGTTTTTCCAAAGAAGTCATACAAATGGTCAACAGGTACATGAAAAGATAATCTTTGTCATTAAATCAGGAAGTGCAAATAAAAACCACATTGTATGCCTCAAAAATTTAAACAATCACATTGTACACCTTCAACTTAAACAATATTATTTATCAATCGTATCTCAATAAAACTGGGGAAAATTTTAAAAATCACTTCTGTCTAAACTTCTCCTTCCTCCTCTCTCATGCTTAAAATTTTTTTAAAGAAAAACGTTGTAGAACTTTGTTTCATTTATTTGTTTTTTAATTGCAGTAACAGTGGATCGTAACATTACATAACTTTCAGATGTACCTCATAATATATTTCAAATTCTGTGTAGATTACATCATGTTCACCACCCAAAGACTATGTGCAATCCATCACCACACACATGTGCCTAATCACTCCTTCTGCCCTCCTCCTTCCCCGCTTCCCCTCTGGTAACCACTAATCCAACCTCTGTTGCTATGTGTTTGTTTGTCATTGTTTTTATCTTCTGCTTATGAATGAGATCATACGGTATTTGACTTTCTCCCTCTGACTTATTTCACTTTGCATAATACCCTCAAGATCCAACCACGTTGTCACAAATGGCCGGATTTCATCATTTCTTATGGCTGAGTAGTATTCCATTGTGTCTATATACCACTTTTTCTTTATCCATTCATCCTTTGATCCGCACCAAGGTTGCTTCCAAATCTTGGCTATTGTGAATAATGCTGCGGTGAACATAGGGGTGCACGTATCTTTATGCATTTGTGTTTTCAAGTTCTTTGGATAAATACCCAGCAGTGGAAAAGCTGGATCGTATGGTAGATCTATTCTTAATTTTCTGAGGAAACTGCATACTGTTTTCCATAGTGGCTGCAACAGTTTGCCCTCCCACCAGCAGTGTACAAGTGTTACCTTCTCTCCACATCCTCTCCAACACTTGTTGTTTGCTGATTGTTAATTATGGCCATTCTAATGGAGAGAGGTGATATCTCATTGTAGTTTTGATTTGCTTTTCCCTCATAGTGAATCATGTTGAACATCTTTTCATGTGCCTGTTGGCCATCCATGTATTTTCTTTGGAGAAATCTCTGTTCAGATCTTTTGCCCATTTTTCAGTTGGGTTGTTGGTTTTTCTGTTGTTGAGATGTATGGGTTATTTGTATATTTTGGATATTAACCCCTTATCTGATATGTGGTTTGCAAATATCTTCCCCAAATTGTTATGTTGTCCTTTCATTTTGTTGACTCTTTCCTTTGCTGTGCACAAGCTTTTTAGTTTGATGTCATCCCATTTGTTTATTTTTTCTATTGTTTCCCTTGCCTGGTCAGACATGGTACTTGAAAATATGCTGCTA